TTATATGACTTTTTGGGATGAGACTGTGTTGCGTGGACACATGGTCATTAAGGACCATGTTGGAAATAAGTGTTTACACTTTATCATGTTATCCTTTGGATTATTGTTGTCAGACTAATCCATAATAAATAAAAAAAAAATCTACAGTGTATGCGCGTTGTTCACTCTCTGTATTATGGCCAAGCATGCGCGCTTAAAATAGCAACTGAAAGTACACGCAACGCACCACTGACTTTAGACCAGGTGTTTTCTGGTCAGTGGCGCGATTGTGTTCTGGAAGTGTAAAATAGCACCAGGGAATGTTTGTGCCGAAACACGCCTCCTTAATGCACCGATCCGCCCAGGGAGCGCAAGTTCATTCCCTAGTTTACCCACGTGCGTCTGTGGGGGGAAAAGCCCGCTTTGCGCTGGAGCAAAATAGGAATGATAAATGCGTTTGTGTATAAAGTCATTTGCGCCGGGTGCAAGATAGAGCCCATAGGGTGTATATGTGGGGAGATCCTAGTGTACTAGTGTGGGGAAAAGGAGCTTTAGAAGCAAATCGATCGGTTCAAGAAATACAATCAGATTTATCAGTGCTTTGGCTTCCATCCAGAAACCATTTGAAAATAGGGGAATTTAATGAAAGGTTGGTAGCCTCAGCAGTGACACAGAATTACAAACAAATAGAGGCAGTACTATGCAGTGTAAAAATAAAGAAGTTAATATTGTCAAAAAGTTCGGAACAATTTACAATACTGGTTATAAAAAAATAGACAGAATGCCAGGAGAACAGGCAGAAGAAGAAAAAATCAAGAAATGAAAAGTAATGAAGAAACTGTTCTGAGAATGCAGGACGTTAGAGATACTAATTGGGAAGAATTGATGAGACCAGAACAAATGTTAATAAATGAAACAAACAAAGATTAAAAATGTCAGAAATAGAGGTAATATGATGGTTTAATACAAGACACTAGAGGGGGTATGGTAGTTTTAAATATTAATGACCAAATGGAGACAGAAGCAGGGAATGCAGGAGCAGTGTTCGACCTTTCAGGAGCACAAGCGCGTAAAAATTTACTGGAATTTAGTTGCACAAGCTGTAATGACAGATTGTAGAACAAAACTATGTACAACCAAGTGGTCTAAGACAGAAGCTCAAATAAAAATGTCATCCTTAATACAAATAGCCATTAGTAGCGCGGTCAAGATAAGGCATTTACTTTAATTGGGACTGGACAGTTAGGACATTCTGTAATGGCAGTGATTAATGGAATAATAACAGGAACTATAGACAATTCAAAAGATAAATTGTCAAAATGAGTATACTAATAGATCACATAGTTCTGAGAATAACAGTTACAATCAAATTGAATAATCTGAATATTTATCCTGGATAATTACAGGACTTCTAGAGAATCACATCACTAAAAAGGTAATGTCAATGGAAGAATGTCTCAATGCTGAAACATGCCTGAACAATCAAGGACGTTCTGATCCAGCTGGCTTAAAGTTACTGATTACCATCTCTGATAGAGAATGATGATGATGATGATTAACATGTAAATCTTGAGAAAATCAACCCTTCGGGGTCTGAGGTGTTCTGACATGCTCTGACATTTGTGCCCTTTTCTGTTACTTTTCAAGTATTATTACACTGTATTCAGCACAAACTCTGCTACAATAATATGTCAGCAGCACATATGTAAAATTTTGTAGTTTTGAGAAAATGACGTTTATGCATGGTTTGTGAAAAAAAACAAAAAAACAATTGTCACTGAAAGAAGGTCATAAAACTCATACTGATTATTTCTTCACTAGACTTTTGAAAATTGTATCACATAGCCTATGTAGCTGGTTTAAAAAAAATTGTGAAATATAATTAAGATTGTTAGTGAACTTCATCAAAACTTAACTATTTTTGTTTTCGTATTTTGTGTGAGTTGTAATCCGATAAAATGTACATAGTTCTAGTGGGAACCAATTATGCAGAATACTGTTGTATATGGGGCACATATTGGTGACGCAACGATAGCTCGTGCGATGTGCGATCAGCGCCATATTTAGAAGCACATTTTCCGCTGACGGGGTCGGGTGTGCTCTCTCTCGCTCATCTGACGAGCGTGCTGGTAAGAACATTTTGAAGTATATTTAACTATGTAATCGACTTATTTCATGAGATAAACAATGTTTAAGTGAAATGTGATGTCATGAAATTGAATGTAGTTAATTTCTTGAGTGTTTTACCGAGACTGGTTTTGCTTACTAGCTGTCTGTGCTGTATGAGCTGTATGAGACTGAGAGGGAGAGACGTGTATCCCACGGGAAAAAAGAGTATTAATTGTGCTCTGTATTTCTGCAGGTATGTTAAACTGTTTATTGTGTTTTATGTTGAGAAATGTTTGAAATGTGTTTGATACATACAAAAAAAGTGAGGTCTGTATGCAAAAGTGATGTGATTGTGCAATTAACCTGTGTTTTGTGTAATTTAACCCCTAATTTGACATTTTTCTCCATTTAATGTGTTTACTACTGCAAGTAAGTGGTGAAGACATTATGTTTTCCCTTTTATATTATTTTGTATGTCATTTAAGGGTGACCTATATGCTTTGTGGCGTACTGTATTTTGTGATTTTATTTAATTTTATTATTTGCCCTAGGTTTTGTAACTATTAGCTGATTAAATTAACATCTAGAGAAGCACATTTTCCGCTGACGGGGTCGGGTGTGCTCTCTCTCGCTCATCTGACGAGCGTGCTGCTGTCTGTGCTGTATGAGCTGTATGAGACTGAGAGGGAGAGACGTGTATCCCACGGGAAAAAAGAGTATTAATTGTGCTCTGTATTTCTGCAGAATAAAGATCCTGAGACCTCTTCAATCGGCGTTGTCTTCATTGAATAGAAAATAAACACAACCAGAGTAAAACTGCTACACCTACAGTATTTGCTCCAAAACTATTGAAAATCTTCTTGACTACTCATTAAGAGACAATAAAGTCTTTTAAAAATTGTTTGACGTGTATTGAGGAAGATAGCTTTATGCAGGGAGGTGTTAACCCCCCATTAATATTACTGCTTTTCACACCGGAGAAGAAGAAAAAGAAGAAGTTTATTGCGCCTTTCCAAAGCTCAAGGTCGCTTTACATGGTACATGTATAATACATTTAAACACTGACTCACAGCTTACAGTCACAAAGAATATAAATAATCACATTTAAACGAAGTACATGTTGAATAGATGTGTTTTTGGCTGTGTCTTGAAAGCAGTCATTGATGAAATATTTCGAAGTGAAAGGGGCAGTGAATTGTTGGCGCATTTACACTAAATGACCTTCCACCTACTGTAGATAATCGATAGCGGGGGATGGACAATAAACCAAGTTCAGTTGATCTGAGAGAGCGTGCAGGACGGTAGGTGAACAGTAGATCAGACAATATGGGGGTGCAAGACTGTTTAATGGCTTATATGTTAAAAGCAATACCTTAAAGTGGATACGAGATGCAACGGGTAACCAGTGAAGGTCATGAAGCACTGGAGTAATGTGAGCAGAACGCCTGGTGGAGGAGGGAACTTTTGCTGATGAGTTTTGGACGTGCTGTAATCTGGCAATATGTTTTTTGGGAAGGCCAATAAATAAAGCATTGCAAGAATCCAGACGTGATGTGATTAGTGCATGAATTAAGAGTTCAGCATCAGGCGAAGTGAGAGATGGTCTTAGACGAGCAATATTTTCATAAGATGAAAGAAAGAGTTTTTAACAATGTAAGAAATATGAGAGCCCAAAGATAGAGTTGAGTCAAATAAGACACCAAGGTTTCGAGTCAGTGATGAGGGCTTAATATGGAAACCATCAATATAGAAGGACTGGTCCATCCGTTTGACTGAGGCTGGAGAGCCAATCACTAATATCTCAGTTTTATTATCATTTAATTTGAGGAAGTTAAGGGACATCCAATGCTTGAGTGAGTCAGGCAGGGATGGTCTGTCGGAGCTGGTGGTGAAGTAAATTTGGATGTCATCAGCATAGCAATGGAATTGAAGTCCATGCCTGCGTATGATGTTACCAAGTGGGTGTATATAGATATATGATGAACAAAAGTGGACCAAGAACCGAACCTTGAGGAACGCCCCGTGTAAGTAATTTGGTGGCAGAATTATGACCTTGTATGGTGATATAATACTTTCTGTCAGTGATATAGGAAATAAGCCAGGAAAGAGCGGAACCAGTGACACCAATATCAGAAAGCCGAGAAATAAGCAGTTCATGGCATACCGTGTCGAAAGCAGCGCTTAGATCAAGAAGCATCAAGATGTTTATTAACCCTGAATCCATCGATGAGAGAATGTCGTTAACCACACGCAGAAGAGCAGTTTCAGTGCTGTGAGATGGGCGAAAACCTGACTGAAAAGGTTCAAAAAGACCATTCATATCCAAATAAGATCGTAGTTGTGAAGCAACAACTTTTTCAAGGATTTTGCTTAAGAATGTTAGATTTGATATCGGTCTGTAATTGTCCATGTTTAGATGGTCAAGGCCAGGCTTTTTAAGAATGGGTGTCACTGCATCAGTTTTTAATTCCGCTGGGATGATGGCACAAGCTAAACTACAGTTTGTCATATGAGTTATGAATGGTGCGACCTCGAGGACGCACTTCTCAAGTAGAACAGCAGGTGAGGGATCGAGCCGGCAGGATGTAGAATTGGACTTCACAATTAGGTCGCTTATGGCAACAGGAGTAGTCAGAGTAAAAATAGAGAAGACAAAGACCCTCCCCTAATGGCCCTATTAGGTGCTGTGGGGCCCGGCATCATTATAAGGAGCCTTGCACAAAGAATGAGATTTAAAAAAGAAGAGAATCTTTGCATTTATTTACAACACAGCATAATCCAAAAATACACAACAAAGGACAATTCTAAAGACAGAGGCTTGAACAGTCACACTTTGTCATTCCTGAAACAGTCTCCTGTGAATGTTGAAGTCAGCAGGACTCATCAGTGGCATCTGGTCCCTGTAAATGTAACAGGTACATAAAGTGTACTGTTAAATGTATTTATAGTTTATTAGAATTCCCACAAAATTGTTTGTTGACATATACCTGATATTACTGCCTAAGTGGAGTCGAGTGTCTTTCCCTTTAATTGATGTGATGTCATGAGTCAATATAATTTCCTGTTCTGTCTCCTCCTCTTCCTCTTTGCACTGGTGATGCAGTGAGAGGTGAGGTTATTTTGGGCTCCTGATAATCATCTTTAATCGTAATCTTAATTGTTGCTTTTATGTCTAAATTTTCAATCTAATTCCTGTGTATAATGTTATTTTACTTATCTGTGTGGCTATTTCCGTAATTTTGTCCCGATTAAGTGATGTTTTAACAGCTGGGCCTAAATGTGAAATGAGAGCATGTGACAAGTGTACATCACATTTGTTTTATAGAGCTAGAGAGGGCGATTCTCACTAAGAGGCTGATTACATTTTATTTGTGCATCAGAATAAAAGATCGCTGAAACTGCTGAGTCCTGTCCTGTTCTTCCCACGTGAATGAAAAACACAACGCAGAAAAGAGACCAGTTACATAAACAATAAACACATGTGAACATGCTGATATCAAGAGAAACTATAGGCTGCACAATTTTGGGAATACATTTTAGATTTTTCTGGTTACAATTATATCATGACCCAAAAATAAACTAAATGAAAAGGAGTTTTTATGTGCTCACATTATACCTGAACCTCAGAATGGACTCAGGTCACTTTTTTTTTTCTTCACTTTTTTCCAGAAGGTTAAAGGAGAACATATGAAGGAGAAAGAAGAACAAAAGATAGAAAAGGACAAAGTAGAAACGAATGAGCCAGCTGATAAGAAACCTGCCGAAGCTGAGAAGGACGAGAAAGCCAAAAAACCAGCAGCTAAAACCCTCAGCGGCCAAGCCTGTGTTCACCAATGGAAGAGACTTGACCAGTGGCGAGAAGAAGACCGAGGTTCGTGGAAACTTCCTGTCGTCACGTCCTCCTCCACTGACATTCCTGCTGTTGCTTCTGCTAATGAGTTTGATTATGTTCTTAAAGAGCCCCTATCATGGATTTTTGAAAACGACTGTTCATGTAGTGTGGAATATAGCTCTAAGGGAATGAAAACATCCTGCACATATTTATATCTGAAAGTGCACCGTATATAAAGTTATTGGGCCCTATTTCTGAAACGCAAGTGTCAAAGCGCAAGTACCTTTGTGGGCGGGTCCCGGCGCTGTTGCTGTTTTCCCGGCGGTATAAATGCCTCTTGCGCCTGCCGCTAATCTAAAAGGGGTTGGTCTGAAGTAGCTTCATTATTCATAGGTGTGGTTTGGGGCGTAACGTGAAATAAACCAATCAGAGCGCCATCCAACATACCCTTTAAGAACAGATGCGCATGTTGCATGACGGATTGTTATTATAACGACGGGTTTACCAGGCGGAGCGTTCACAGCCGATGAGACCGACGCTCTCGTCAGGACAGTGAAAGACAGAGAGGTGACGGTGTATGGGGATGGAGAAACTCTCGCACATCAGCGTCGGTTAAACATTATATACGGATGTGTCTCGCCACTATCGGGCAAACAGGTCTGATCCTTCAGTGCTACAATTAGCCTTAAAAATGGGTAATTCGGTTTTTTCATCTTCATGGACACCACAATGATTTCCCTCATGTGTTAATATTTTTCCTTGTTACAATGTATGATTTGCAAAAATAAAAACTGCTGCATCTGTGTTGATGAGAGAATCAAAGTGTATGTGCGCTGTGCACCCGCTACATTATGGCCAAGCATGCGCTCTTAAAATAGCATTATGAACAACGCGTCACTGACTTTAGAGCAGGTGTTTTCTGATCAGTGGCGCAATTGTGTTCTGGAAGTGTAAAATAGCACCAGGGAATGTTTGCGCCGAAACACGCCTCCTTTTAGCGCCGGGGAGCGCAAGTTCATTCCCTAGTTTACCCACGTGCGTCTGTGGGGGGAAAAGCCCGCTTTGCGCTGGAGCAAAATAGGAATGATAAATGCGTTTGTGTATAAAGTCATTTGCGCCGGGTGCAAGATAGAGCCCATTGTCTTTCAAAAGTGAGAGTCGACTCTGAGTCTATGAAATGATTTGTTTTTGAAACGAGTCATTAGCTGTTTCATCGTGACGTAGACAGGTCATTGGCCGCTCCCAACAACTGCGCGCGCAGACTTGAAGTGACGTCTAGAACACATTCAAATACTTCAGCTGAGTCCAAGATGTTCATGTCTTTCTTTCTTCACTCAAAAAGAAATTAGTTAGAAAGTAAACATTCCAGAATGTTTCTCCATATAGATTTCAATGGGGTCCAACGGGTCGAAGGTCCAGATGAGTTTCAGTGCAGCTTCAAAAATTACAAAATAAAAAGAAACATTTATATACTTTTTAACCACAAATGCTGGTCTTGCACTTGCTCTGTGATGGTCCACACATCACGTAATCAGGTTGAAAGGTCAAGTGTGACGCAGCCGGAAGTACTGAACGTGCGAAGTCAAATGCCATTTACAAAAAAAAAAAAGAAGGTAAAACAACAGTTTTGAAGTTGAAGGAGAAACTGAGATGGTGTTTTTCACCGTACTCTACTTTTGTCTTCTTACATTTTGAACCGGAACACAAGACAAGGATTTGTGGCTAAAAAGTATTGAAATGTTAATTTGTTTATAAAATGGCGGATAGTTTGTCTAGATCAGACTCTTATTCCTCGGCTGGATCGCGTGGAGACTTTGATAAAAAACATCTTGGATGGGCAGTAAGTGATCAGATTTTGTTTTTAATTCTGAAGTGACCTCAATGTTCCCTGATGTGAAATTTGAACTTGTGCTTTTGTCAGCCTGCTTTTATCATTACCGCTGCCGTTATCATTTATTCTATTTTTTGTTCATTTGCCGTCCATCTGTTGGGTTTGCTGTCCATCCATGCAGCCTTTCGCTGGGTCAATCAAACCCAGTTCTACCAAGCCCAGACCCAGCTCGACCTCCACCGCCCCCAAACGCCCGACCTCGACCTCCAGCGCACCCGCTCCCCTCAGCAAAAGAGCCCCAGTGCCCAAAGCCCCCGCCCCCAAACGACCAGCTACGGCATCCACACGACCCTCCACCGCGGCCAGAGAGGTCAAGCCCAAGGTGAGTCTCTAATCATGTGACCGACACGACGTCCGAAGGTCAAGCGGGTCAGTCCGGCTCTCCTCTCGGCACGGATGATGTGTTTGTGTGGGCTTTCATGCTTGACCACATTATCTTTGTTTTAGTTTGCATTGTGGAGGGTTTTTTAAAATAAGTTTCTTCTTGTTCACCAAGGCTGCATTTATTTGATAAAAAATGCAGAAAAAATGTGAAATATTATCAGAATTTATTCACTCTTTCTATGTCAACATATATATATATAGTAAAGTGTAATTTATTCCTGTGATGTTCAGCATCATTACGCCAGTCTTCAGTCACATGATCCTTCAGAAATCACTCTAATATGAGGATCTGATGATCAAGAAACAGTTATGATTATTATCAGTGTTGAAAGCTTTTTGTAGAATCTGTGATACATGTTTTCTTTTAGGATTCTTTGATGAATAGAAAGTTCAGAAGAACAACATTTAATTGAAATAGAATCTTTTGCAACATTAGAAATGACTTCACTGTCACTTTTGATCAATTAAATTCACCCTTGATAAATATATATTTTACTGACCCCAAACTTTTGAACTGTTGGGTATGTCTACAAAAAAGCTTAAATGTAATAGAGCTTCTAATGTCATAACATGGAAAATCAGCTAGAAATTCCTCAGCTATATCTATGAAATAATTTTGATCTAGTATCCATGAACCTAAACATCAAAATATTGTGTATTATGTCTGTAGATTATGTTTTTGAGCGTGACACACTCGGCCGTTGTTCTTGATAAATCTCTTTAAATATGAAGAATATTGAGTTCAAGTCTTCCCTCTAGTGGCCGTTTGGTAACATCACTACTTCCTTCCTAAAATCAGCATTTGACTGGTGAAATTAAAGGAATATGTACAATCAGGGCACTGAGTAACAATCAGCAAATGCAAAATCATGCACATTATCGTGTTGACATGACAAGGTGAAAGTCCCCCTGTAGTCGATAAATTTTTTTTTTGTAGTCGACATATTTAAGTGTTTTTTTCTTAAAATAGGCTTAACATATCTTGAATGTAACTCGACACCCTTGCTTCATTTAGTATGCGCGGCTCTATGAATATGCAAATGAGCACCACCTCCACTCACTCAGCTCACCACTGGTGGACGATCACACGTTGATCTGATTGGTTTCAAGGTGGTTTGTGACGTCAGAAACACCAGCGATTTCAAAGTGTGTTTTTGAGACTGTCTTTGGTTCTCTGCAGTTTGAAGGAGGAAATACTCCGCAATGCTGTCCACTTAATCAACGCACACACGGTGTGTGTTAAAGCGGATTATACCATGGTCTGGGTGAATACTCGATTCTGATTGGCTGCAGGGTGTCCGTTAAAAAGTGATAGAGGACACCAAGTAAAGTAGTTCTGGTGAAACTGCCTGTTTACCATTCGAAATTAATAAATAAATGCACTGCCAACAACAGCTGTGAGTAACCATAGCAACAGGCAGTCAAACGCTCTATCAAAACAAACATCTAACGGTAGTTAGATATTACATAGCCTACTAATACAACAATGAGCGACTTCGTTCTTTCTTTTAACATTTATGGAGAATATGACAACTTTGACGACTGGGATGCTGCTGAAGAATTATTTGTAAAAACTAGATTTAGCCTAATTAAAATCTAAACTAGCAGCTAATGTTTTAAAAATGTTTTATTTGGCAAGTGACCATGTTATAAGCGGGTTAATGCCCTTCGAGGTGTCCATTGTCAGGTTTTAATGGACTTCGGCGGAGGCAACCGTCCTCTGCTGCGCGTCGGCCGGTTCACGCCTCGCCGTCGTCCATTAAACCATGACAATGGACACCTCGAAGGGCATTAACCCTTACTTACTGAACTTAAATATACAAGCTTGGTGATAGAAGAACATTATAGAATAAGATTTTCAAACGGCATTTAGAGGCTTTTGCATCTTCAAGTATAACTGACATGGTTGCACCAAAATGAACATATCTTATAGGGCATTTTCAAACCTAAACTAAACCAATCTATTTCTTAACTCACTCTACCAGTGGACTACAAATATAAATATTCACAAGACAAACTCGAGTCAAAATCATAAAAGTCATTTACTTTATAAATCAAAGTTTTCAAACAAATTTTGTTTTGGATGCCCAGTTCAAACAAAGGACAACACAGTACGAACACATACATAACTACCCACAAACAGGTTGTACTTCTTTAATTTCTGCATTTAAAGAGTAAATTTGAAATCCGGAAATCAACACCAATAGAGTTAATTTCAACACTTTAAAAGTGTATATTTGGGAACCAGCCACAAAGTGTTACTTCAACACTTTCAAAAGTGTTGCCTCTCTCAACACCGACACAGTGTTACAATTTGAACACTAAGAGAGTGGAATTGAACACCAATGCAGATAACAACAACACTGCCAGTGTTTACTTCTTCAACCTTATAGTAGTCAAATATTACACCATCCTGGTGTTGATAGAACACAGTTTTACAAATAAAAACACCAAAGGAGTTACCAGTTTTTCTTATCAGGGTTCCTGCATTACCTACTGTACTTAAATGATGTCAGTTTATTTTCTTCAGTTCTTTAAATCTGAAAAGAATAATTTCACTTTGAAAAACACATAACTCTTTATTACTCTTTCAAAACTTTATTTCAAAACAATCCAGAAAGTATGGGATCATAGTAGAATTCTGTTCATTGTAAAGTTGAAAACAAAGGCAAATGTAAACAGTTGTTTCAAGCAAACTATTTTTTTTATTACCGAACAAGCCCGTTTACATCATAGGTTAACTTTTAAAATAAACGATGAATGCACAATATACCGATTTCTGTAATCAGAATTATATGATGTGATCAAATGGTGTCCTGAACATATCAGTGAATGTGAGTCCTGTGTCAGTGAAGTTGATTCAGTACCTTTGCAACAGTACAGCAGGGCTTGAGTCAAAAACATTCAGCAGATGAAGAACAGTAGCAGGATATGAGTGGATCAGTTGTGTGTGTCCAGTCACGAACAGTAAAGTTCAGTGCATAGTTGTTTCACAGAGGAGCAAAGGCTGTGTAGATCCAACTTTCTCGAAAAATCCTGTAGTACTGGGTACCTAGACAACACAAAACCAGATCAATTTCAATTAATACCATTTGTGTTTCATAAATACAGCAGGTTTATGGTGAAAAAAGTTCAATCATCGACTCAAACAGAAACCATTTTGGTTAGATTAAGACTTGCATTTATTGATTTCCAAGTAAATTGAAGATTTAATTCATCCAAAAAATGTAATTGTCATTAATTATTCACCCTCGTGTTGTTCCAACCCGGTAAGACTTTCCTTCATCTTCGGGAGACAAATGAATGATATTGTTGATTAAATCTGAGAGCTGAATCACTCCTGCATAGCCTTTTAAGGGATTGAAACTTGGCAGCCAATAAAAGTTATTAAAGACATTTTTAAAATAGTCAGAGTGACTACAGTGGCTCAACCTTAAGTTTATCAAGTGACGAGAATACTTTTTGTGCGCAAAACAAACTAAAAATTAAAAATATTACAATCAACTATTCATTTTCTTCTGAGTGGGCCTGAGCAAGTTAACAGTGTAACAATGCAGCGCTTCTGTGTTGTACGTCACAAACACACGACCAGCGTCAGCCAATAGTGAGCCTGTGTGTGACGTACAACACCGAAGCGCTGCACTGTTGGACTACGAGAAGCCCATCTCGAGGCCCACAGAGAAGGAAATGCATAGTTGAATAAAGTCGTAATTTCTGTTTGTTTTTTTTTGCGCACACAAAGCATTCCAGTTTGGATTGGACTTAGGATTGTGCTTCTGTAATCAACAATATCTTTAATGACTTTCTGGGCCAGCAAGTTTTGATCCCTTATAAGCCTATGGAGGAGTGATCCAGCTCACAGATTTAATCAAAAATATCTTAATTTGTGTTCCGAAGATGAATGAGTCTTGAGAGGTTGGAACAACATGAGGGTGAGTAATTACTGACAGAATTTACATTTTTGGGTGAACAGTCCCTTTAATGAAGATATTTTTAATGAAATCCAAGAGATTTCTGTTCATTTATCTAAAGCCTATTCAACGACCACTTCAAAAACCACGGAAAGGTATAGAGCTGGTAAGTCCCGCCCCTTCCGCTAGCCCCGCTGGACTTCTAGGTTGAAACATCGTCAATGCAAGTGAATGAGAGAAAATAATTATTTTCTAATCCCGTTTGAATTGTGCAATGAATGTGAACATATGTTGTCTGTGAATTTTTTATATAATGTTTCGTGTGAGAGCACTTTGTGGACTACAACTCTTCGACGTGTTTGATATGCATCACCCCCACTAGCACACGGATCCCGCTAAACATGCCTGTGTCTTTGGTGCACTTCACCACCTTCTTTCAGGGAGAGGACAAACTAGTTGAGCGTGGTGAAAACCGTGATTTGTGGAGGGAAAATGTGTTATGCGGCGACGTGTAGTCTTTCTCGTTATGTCTATTCCACAACTGCTAGCCAAAGAATCATACAATATACTGTCAAACTCGTTACATGAGAAATTATATAAAAAATTCACAGACAACATATGTTACATTCATGGCACAATTCAAACGGGATCAGAAAATAATTATTTTCTCTCATTCACTTGCATTGACGCTTTTTCAATCTAGAGGTCCACTTGGAGTTTTACGCGTTGGCGGGACTTACCTAGCCTGGCTGCGCCCTCCTACGCACTTCCGCTCAATTTCATTTTACTTCTGTACTACGTCTGGGATCGCTCCATATCCTTAGGTTTCCAGAAACCAATTTTTTGTTGGACCAATCAGCGAATAGAGGGAGTGGCTGAGAAAGATGACGTTGATGTAAGCGCGTCAGTTTCAATTCAGTAATGGCAGCGGAGAAAGACGTGAGAAAAGCTATTCGGTCCGTTGTTGGAAAAGAAACTGCCGAATATACAGAATTTAAAGCCGGATTGTTATCGTCTAACCTCTTGTTGCACAACTGAGGACCAAGTGAAGGAGGCAGAAAGGTTGGAAGTTTGTGCTGGGCAGCTCGTGCACGATGACCGACGGACGGTTTAGCCTGGTGTTGGCGGTGTTCGGAAGCCCCGAGTCCCGCTGCTAAACTATTGTTGAAGATCCGCTCAGGAGTCATGTCAGTCGCTCATATTCCCAACTGTAAATTTACAGTACAATTTAAATCATACAAATTGGTTGTGATTTAAAAAAAAAAATAATTGTCATAAATAAAAATGTGAAAACCCCATACTTTGAAGATATTTGATTTTCAGTTTTAGATGGCAATGGTTGATTTGTTTTACTAAAAAAAAAACTAAATGCCACATAAAAATGTACAAACACATACTTTGAAGACCATAATTAAGGTAATTAAGAAACAATAAGACGTAATATGAAAAATTGTTGTTTATTACACATCTGCAGATAGAGACAGACTGATCATTCACTGTAGCTGCTACGGCATTTGCGGCAGATCAGAAACGACCACAGCGGCGTATTTGTAATGATTAGACACAGCTTCCACCGTTGAATGAATATATCACTGTCCTTCATGTCAAATATACATTTCGAATTAATAATTGTTCCTAGATTAACAAAACCTGCGGCGCTCGTTGACTGAAATCCTATTGTAAACATAATCCTCTGATCATTCGGACTTGTTGTTTCCAGCCGTTTCGGCGCGTGACATACGTCACTCACGACACCCCGTTAGCGATTGGCTATAGCAGATCGTGAGTGACTTTGGGCAGATCCAATAGATTTGAACTTTAATAGTGAACCCGCCTACAAGGAAGGAAACGTTTTTCAATGGAGCGGTTCCAGACTCTATGTGGAAATGAAATGAACTAGAGTCTGGTTGAACCAGGCTAGGACTTACCAGCTCTATAAAGGAAATCAAAAGTAATCCATGTGACTCTAGTGGTTTAACCTCAATTTCACAATTTTTTTTGACAATTTTAACTCAACTTTATTTACAAAATATTAATCTTCAATGCACATACATGCACATCAACAACATGCACGAGTTGTAACGTTGTCATGAACGCATGTTGGAAATAAATATTTAATAAATTAAGTGGTAAAAGTGTTTTTGCTGCAAACACAGCATTTGCAAAGTTTAATAAACATTTATGTTAAACCACTGGAGTCGCATGGAGTACTTTAATGATGTACTTTTGTCTGGGGCTTGAAAGTGGTAGTTGCGTAGATTGTCAATGGAGGGACAGGAAGCTCTCTGATTTCATTAAAAACATGTTCGTTTGTGTTGTGAACATGAAAAAGTCTCACTTGTTTGGAACGACATAAAGGTGAGAAATTAATGACAGAATTTCCATTTGTGGGTGAACTAACACTTTAAGAAAAAATAAAGACACGCACCTTAAGAAATCTCACTAAATTGTCAGCCGCCGGATTCCGGAAGGATCGGTCTTCCCGTCTTGTGGCTTTGTAATGTTGGGGGCAGGTAATGGGCAGAGATTTTCCAATCAGTTGAGTCTAAAATTAAACAGCAAGAAAACATCTACTTGTCAAATCATGAAAACCATTGGTTCGAAATCTTATTTTAAGTATATATATATATATATATATATATATATATATATATATTTATACTAGATTTCAAATTAGATTAGTTAACTAGTAAACTAGATTATACAAATTCAAAATGAGTGTTATGGAACAAAGAAAATCTAGCTATACCAAATAGCAACCAAGCTATGATTATTTTTTTCTTTGTGCCCATGATTCTCTCATATGTTAACTTATCTGTTATCTTTCCATGACCAGGTTCTAGTCTGTACCGTCTTTAAACACCAAGCCTGGTACCCTTAGTCACTTGGTGCATCATAGAAATGCTCCTAGCAATACATTTAAACATTAAAGCATTACAACATTAAATACATTTACATTACATTAAATAAACATTAAATATTTTTAAACATTAAATCTCTAAATATCAACCAAAAGTTAATCTGATAAATACATTTTGCATCAATATGTAATTTGAAATAATTGCTTACCCATTCTAAGAAGATTGGTCCTCCAAATAAGGAAATACAGTGAAAATTCCACGTGCATTTGGTCCGCAGTTTGTGGAGTTGTTCTTCTGTTTTATACGTTAACGTTAGGTCTGCTGGCAGACGAGAGTAAAAGATAGTTTTAGGATAAATCCTTTATGATATTTGCACATCACACATATTGTCATAAACAATATAGTATTATATAACACGTATAGTAAATGAGTTAAAACACTTACTTACTCGGTGTTTTCACTGTTAAATGCAAACTCCGTGTCTGCACTCTGCACTGCTTTTTGAAATGCGTCACGAGCAGGTCACGAGTCAAAGATGCAGGACCTAGACTGTGAGAGGTTTAGGCGCGCACATCACATAAATATCGTTACAAAACAATATAATGCCATGAAATTCATGTGGTAAATTATGTTAAAAACACTTACTTTAACTTAGGTGTTTCCCTGTTAACGTTACAAGGCTCCTCCTCGTCAGCTCCGTGTTTAAAGATGATGTCGTCTTTGAAAACCGTTTCGACCGTTTAATCGCGCAGAACATTTAAATATCGCTTTGAATGTGTTAAATATATTGGCTATGCAAATTGGAAAACACTTACTTTCGTTGTTTCCCTGTTAAAAAGCAAACCCACCCTGGTCTGTCATAGAAAATGCCCCTCTGAGAGCGGTTTGCTCGTCCACAGCACATACATATTGTTATAAAACAATATGATGTTATAAAATGAAGATATAAATGCGATTTAACACGTAATAAATGTGTGTTTCCTCCTCATATGTCTTGCGACTCGAGTCAAAGAAAATGGCGTCTGTGAAGAAAGTTTCAACTCGTTTCGTCCCGCCCAGCACGTAAATGTCCCGGATGTGACTAGTAACACGTGTTCTCAAAGCATTCTCTGGTGTAATTAATCCAGAGAGTGTGGTTTACACTATTAAAAAGTCCTTAACATCAGGATTTCAACACTGGAGATTTTATATACTACTAAGTTTCCAATTAGCTTATAATATTTATGCTTGAAATAAACCATTAACTGTACTTTAAGCATGCAGACTTGATGTTAACTTGCATGTTAACTTGGATGTGAAAATTATTTAATAAGGTTAAAGTAAAAAGTACAAGCCAAGTACACTTAAACTTTCAGTATTCACAAAGAATACTTTTCTTTAGTATATCTTGATCAAATGATTAAGTACAAGTATACTTAGACTTTTCTGTATACTTGTCAGTATATGCCAAGTATACTTAAGTATAATTTTGTTAAGTATATATCTGAAAAGTATATTGAAAGTAGACTGAAAGTACACTCTTATTTTTAGTTTAACACTTGAATAAACTTATTTTTCGTAAGGGGAGATCGGCTCGCGCTGCACAGATGTTGCTGGTCTGAACTGATAAACCATCCGTGAAGCACATAACGAGTAGCACAGTTTCGTTCCGCTTTCATTATGCATGCCATTTATCAGAACGAATCAGAACGAATCAGAACGTGTCAGAACGAATTTTGCCGGCAGGAAAAATGGTCCAAACAACCGTTCGGTTTGTATGCGTACCGAACCGGAAGCCTCGAACCGAAACGGTTCAATACGAATACTGTACATGTACAGTTACACCCCTAATACATATATATACATATATATAGCCACTCTTGAGAAAACCGTGATGTCATCGTCCAGCTCAGTTTAGTTCTCATATAATACTGTCAATGCAGGCAGATAAATAATATAAAATGATATTGTTGATTATGCAACTAAATACAAATATTATAATCTAAAGGTAACAGCTTTTGTCAGATTTAGGTGTCTGCTATAATATAACCCTGACAGTCTCATTTCATTATTGTGTGTGTGTGTGTGTGTGTGTGTGTGTGTGTGTGTGTGTGCCTCTACAGAAGGGAAGTATCGGGCGCTGAAGATGGAGTTTTCTCTGCCGTCCTCCACTTACGCCACGATGGCCGTCAGAGAAGTGCTGAAGATGGACACCAGCATCAAGAGTTAGACTCGGCTCAACACCAGCTGGCTGAACTGACACTCACACTCACACACACACACACACACACACACAGCTGGCTGAACTGACACTCACACCACACACACCACAGCTGGCTGAACTGACACTCACACTCACACACACACACACACACACACAGCTGGCTGAACTGACACTCACACACACACACACACACACACTGACACACACACACACACACACCACACACACTGGCTGAACTGACACTCACACACACACACACACACACACACACACAGCTAGCTGAACTGACACTCACACACACACACACACAGCACTGACACTCACACACACACACACAGCAACTGACACTCACACACACACACACACACACACACACACACAGCTAGCTGAACTGACACACACACACACACACACACACAGCTGGCTGAACTGACGGTCACACACACTTTCACCAGCTTTAGGCCTGCAGTTTATTGGTGATGAACACTTCGCCACGTTGTGTATGTAATTTTGACAGTAAAGAAGCAACACAGTTATTTATTTACTCGTTTTAGACTTGTTGTTGTTTTAAAGCTTTGCAGGACTGTGAAGACATTCATTACATGTATTTTCAGAACTTCAGCATGAACTAAACATTGAGCAGTAAATGAACATATTCCAGTTGTTGTGAGATTAATTTGATGATTTATTATTGTAAAATGTATTTCTGCTGAATACTGAATTTTTCAGTGTAAATATTTGAATCTGAATAAATGAATCTGCCTGATGTCTTCATGTTTCCGTGTTGAACTTCATGTGTCAGGCATGTTCTCAAACATTCGTCCAGAGCAAACATTCACAGAGCCGAAGCAATGCATTCCTCTGGACAGAGTCTTCAGTTTCCCCTCATGGACTGAAATGTTAATTTTTAATGAACGTTCCTACTCAATCATTTTTTGGGGAATTTGAAACCATAACATTGAACTTGAAATCGAGACAGAGGTTGAATTTCAGAAATTGAGATTTTTGACTCTGTGTTTATCATTTATTTGAAATGCTGTGTTACTGTATTCTTTTTGTTCTGTTTGTCTTTCATTCTTTTAATCTTTTTTTTAAAAAAGGATACAACTCATGCAAAATAAGAAACAAAGAGAAAAAATACACTAAACTTTTGATTAATTAGCTGCATTCCAATCGTCTGCGTGGTTCATTTATTTTATTCTTTCCTTTTATAATCTTTGCATTTTATTTCTTCAGTGAGTCGATCTAAATCTTCTGTTTCTGGTCCATAGTTTTGATTTTATAGGATCTAGAAACTGAGCCGTGTGCAACACAAAGCTATGTCATATTACAAATCAAATAACATTTTGATTGTTTTACTAAAATATATCATTTTCAGTGAAAAAAAGTAATATAATAAAGTATTGGTCAGCATTCATCATTATTGTTGTGTGTTAAGTGTTGGGGTGGGCTAGCGATGCAGTTCAAGGAGTGATACTTACATTCTTCAAATATTAAATCAACAGTTTCCTCTAAAGCGAGATCTTCGAGCCGCTGCCCGTTAGGGTTAAGGGTTAAGGGTAAGGGCGAGATCTTCGAGCAGCTGTGGAGACATTACAAACAGTACAAACGTTCTGACTGTCGAGCTACTGATGTTATGAGGTGTTGGAGCACCTGTCGCTTATTTAATTTTATTTATTGCAGAAATTATAATCACATAAAAGATCAGGGAAATATATCATGGTATCTAACAGTGAACAATCAAAATGACGAAAAAAAAGGAAAACGAATATCATGGGTTTGTGTAGATACTAATATAAGAGAAGAAGGTTAAAGAGAAGGTTAAATATTGATGAGAAGGTTAAATATCTTTGAATAATTCACCACAATATATACATTTGTTTTGTCATATACAAGCCTGAGGGATGAAATGAAGTTAAATTTGACCAAAAAAATTAAAAAAACATAAAAGAGATTTAAGCCACTTTTGATTGACAAAGAAATTTTGTTGCATATAAAATAAAGAAATTAACAACATATTCAAGAGATGATGATTTTGGGTTAGGGTTAGTAATTAAAAATAATATCTTTAAGGATAAAACTGTGGGTCACATTAGTAGGGTTAAAAATATAAGAACTTAAATCAACCATAAATGTATTGGTTATGCTAAAATCACAAAATATATGGACACTTGATTCTTCAACAAAACCACAAAATGAGCAAGTTTCATCAATATCAAGCTATTTACAGATACATCAATTAAACCTGTCGCTCATATCTTTTAAGTTGTTGCACTTGGGATAACGTCAACATGGCAGATGTCCAGATCATATTTATACTTAATGTGATCAGGCTATAAAGTACCTACACCTTTAGCACTCGTCAAGTTTATTGAAATGAAGTACCTACCCAGTGAGTATGTGGTTTAGAACGCAGCCACGGTCCAGCCGTATCAAGGCAAGATAAGTTCACATATCACTCAAAACTACAATTCCCAGAAGTCCTCCTGCTCCTCACCTGCACTCAATTACTCAGCCATCATCCTCAGCTGCACCTGATCAGCACACTCATCACCACAGTATTTAAACACACCTCAGTCACACACCTCGTTTGGTCTTAGTCTGTGGATGACTCACTGTATGATGTCCTGAGTGATTGATCCTCTGAGCGTTCTCCAAGATCCTGTCTCCTAGTTCCCTCGTCTGTTCTCTACCTCCAATGGTCCTGCAATCCCTGTAAGACAAAGACATTGTTCATTCATTCACTCTCACAGCAACCAAAAGGTGTGTGTGTGTGTGTGTGTGTGTGTGTGTGTGTGTGTGTGTGTGTGTGTGTGTGTGTGTGTGTGTGTGTGTGTGTGTGTGTGTGTGTGTGTGTGTGTGTGTGTGTGTGTGTGTGTGTGCGTGTGTGTGTGCGCGTGTGTGCGTGTGTGTGTGTGCGTGTGTGGTGTGTGTGTGTGTGTGTGTGTGTGAGAGTGAGTGTGTGGAGGAGGTCTGAGCAAGGATGCAGATAGTCACCTGAGGGTTTTTTTTGCACACCTGTCTATTTTTAATGTTTTGTTAACCCACACTTTTTATCTCACCCCTGATTGTTTTACAGCTGTCTGATATCCCAAACCTGACTTGGTCAATCCCAAGACGAGCCAAGTATGACGACTGGATCAAATTGAGACCTGGATTTGATCAAAGTACCACCATGTCCCTCTACCAACTTCACCAAACCTTGGAGGGGTTTGAGAGCAGGTACGCTTGCCACTTACTCTTGGAAATACTCTTCTGTATCATAATTCTCTTTAGTTTACAGTGTTACCACAACCCTATTTCCAGAATAGTTCTGCACTTTTTAGGACTGTCTTTTTTTTTATGCCCTCTAATTTTTCTATCTGTTTTTATTTACTACTTAAACTTTGTTTTATGTGCCTTTTTTAAAATAATTTTGTTCTGTCTTAGAATAGCTTAGACAAGACCATAAAGTTCACAAGCATGAAAACTGTGTCTCTCCGATTATTCATTCTTTGCATTCCTGTTCCCCTTTTGTGTTTATACTTTTGTTCCTGTTGTAGTGATGGTTTTTAACAGTTTACATTTATTCCGTGTGTTGTCGTTCATTTTAAAGTCTCGCCCTTTTTATCCCTTCTGTTTTACTTATGCCTTAATGCTCCTTTATTGTTGTGTCTGTAGTCTTAATGGCCCTTTTTGTATTTATGCATTTTCCCATCTTTGTATTTACTGTTGTCATGTATGCTAGCTGGAGTGCCCGTGTGAACCACTGGAGGGCACTCTCTCCTTGTGTTGTGTTTTCACCATGGGCTCATTATGTTTAATTATGTTTCAGTTGTGTTTGATTACCGATTATTGAGTTCCTTATTTGAGCCCGAGTGATCTTTGTGTCTGGTGCGAAGGCTTGTGACGCAAGTTAACTTCTCTGAGCATTATTCTCTGTTTTAGTATTCTGTGTTTGCCGGGACGCTTGACCCTTGCCTGTCTTCTGGACCGTATGTGAACCTGTGCTGTCTGCCTTGACCTAAGCCTGTTCTCACC